TTTTTTTATCAACCTCGAAACACCTCAAAGATCAGGTCAATTTAATCTTTCAACAAAACAGAATCAAACATTCATGCTTTTATTTCCTCATACTAGATCATTTCAGTTGAAAAGCATAAATGCGTAGCATAAAAGAAGATGTGCTGTCGTCTGCCTTCAGATTTCACAATAAGCTAGGGGGATAGCGTGCACTGCATTTGTACCAAGGGTAACGCAAAGAATATGAAAAGAAGTACATGATTTCACCATTCAACATACAACCAGTTTGCCACTTGCTAACTTGACGGTAAGGTCAACCAGAACCAGTCCAATCGTAGCTAGGGTGGTATATCACAACCTCCTCCAGTGGAGTCAGACATACTTCCATCAACAAATCATTACTTTGTCAGTGTTTGTATTCTGGAACGAGAGCAGTAGTCCATTTGAATGCCTCAATTTTGCCAAGCATGTAACATTCATAGTCAGGGCTGGACCTGCGTCGGCTTTATTAAAGAGGAGTCAGTAAAGAACACGCAGAGTCAAAGAAAGACAATAAAATGATAAAATAGATGTAGTGCTGGGTTATAGCGCCACCAGCAGGCACTCCGACCACAGGGCAAGGACTAGACTGAGTTTTTCCTCCTGTGAGTGCAGCTGGAGCTGGACCACGGGGACCTGCTCCTCCTTCTGAAGCTGCTGCAGGGCCTGGAGGTGGGACAGAGGGAACTGTAGACCCTGCATGGACAGAGACACACACATGGAAGCGCACACTGATCAGCAAATACACTGACTTCTGGTATTTGAGGAACTAGGGAAAAGACTATTATGCTACAAAAGGTGGACATGATGACAGAATGAGAGGTAAACAAACTGTTAAAACCAAACTAACAGAGGTACAGGTGTTTGTGGTGACACATGTGGCAGATGTGGACATTAAGGAACTTTGTCCAGGTCCTCCTGTGACAGCTTACTCTGATGATAATATTTAAGAGTAACTAAATCACCAGACAACTTTTTTCAGCTGAAAACCTGATTATAGCATACAGTAGTAGTGGCAGCAAATCTCCACATTTGAATTCAAAGTCTTAAAATCCTACATATTATGTTAGAAATAGCAACTGCCCTCTACAGGCTGAAACCTGGTTGGTGCAATTCAATTGTTCTATTTGCTGATCCGGTGTTTGGTGACACCTGTGGGTAAGTGTTTTTGCTGGGGCGAGTTCATCCTGAGAGAAAGAGGAATCAGCGACTGAAATCTTACCCTGGAGATATCCCGGTCCTCCTCTTCATCACCTTCACCCATCATGTGGCTCTCCCTCTGGTTCTTCAGGGAGTGTAACACAAACACAACCTGCTCTGTGGCCTCTTCCTAAAACACACGTTCACATAACGTATAGCTGGTCAGTGCAGTTCAAACTCAGACAATGATTGGTAAGAAATTGTCAGTTAATCCTGTTGTGACAGGTCGTCGCTTTCAAAATCTAACCTGTGACTGCAGGAGCTGGAGATCAAATCTCCAACATTTGGGTTGAGAGACATCTGACTATATCACTGAGCCACCAGAAAGTGTAACTTGTTCATGTTGAAGTTTTTCCTAATGAGCTTAACTTTCAGGAGGATCGTTAAGGTTAATTGATTTGAATAATCTTTTTCCTGAGGTTGAACAGTTTTTGTTGAAAGAAATGACCAATGTTAGGGTTTTAAGTGGTAAATAAAAAGTTGATATTCTCTTTTCAATTAGCCAACAAAAGGGCTCATCAACTCTTAAAGTCTACATATGATGTTAATGAATACAAACAGTATGGAAAGACTATGGCTGCTGTGAGAACAATGACATACAAGAGTGTGTTTCAGTCTTGTGTGTGCAGGTTTAGTTTATGAAAACATTTTATTTATTTTTTTACAGGCAACACATTTCAACGTCTCAATGAAAACTTAAACAGACTCACTGTTCTCTGCTGGGAGGGCTCCACTGTTATCACCATGTGCTCTTTAAACCTCAAACACACCACATCCTCCAGGGCAGGGATCCTTCCAGCTGTGACACACACACACACACACACACACACACACACACACACACACACACACACACACACACACACACACACACACACACACACACACACACACACACACACACACACACACACACACACACACACACACACACACACACACACACACACACACACACACACACACACACACACACACACACACACACACACACACACACAGCTACACATTTAGACTCTTAAGTTGTCATATTGAGTCATATTGAAAGAAGGAGAAAGAGTCTCACATGGAGCGATCTGCTGCTCGCTGTATGGAGGCAGTCTGTTCGTGATGAAGTCTCTCTTCAGGTGAGTGCATCTAACTTCAAGTTTCCCCGTTTCCATCACATCAGCCACGGACCTGAGGTGAGCTGCCAGCCGCCTGCAGGTGTCCTCACTTCCACCGTTGCCCTGCACACGCACACGCACAAACACATTATCAGGATGGTTTTCCCTCTCGAGAGGAGAGACAGCAGCAGTGTGGATGTGTAACACCCTGGACCTGCTGCTATCGCTCTTAGTCACACTCACTGAGTGAGTCAAAGTCACCGACTGCTAAAAACAACTCAACTCATCCTTGTTTGTATCGCACCTTTCATTCATAACAGCTTGTGGCCCCAAGTGCTTCAAAAAGAACACACAGACAGGACACTAAGCTCCATTTACTGATTCTACATAGAAATATAGAATCTGTTCAGAGAGATCTGGATTTTCCTTAAGGGAAGTGTTCCTATTTCAGTTTGTAGTACATTTGTAGTCCAAGCTGTATTGACCAATTACGTTTCAGCAGACTTTGACATGTGGAGGAAAAACAGTCCGCCTGGATGTCAAATAAAAGGTGGAATGTTTTACCTGACATACCAGCTCATTTCTGTAGTATTCTAATTATTTATACAACTCTAATAGAAATCTGCATAAAAGTGTGACGAGCAATCAGTACTGATCAAACATTTCAACTTGAGTCATAGATCTCCATCCAACAAACAAAACATTTTTAAAGTAGTTTTTTTTTTTTCATCCTAATGACAGACCTGACAAAACTGGACTTTAAGAAAAATCTGCATCATGACAGTGTTATTTCAGTAAAGTTAATTCCATTAATTGCAAATAAATCAGTGAAGTGAGCCAGAGTAAAGCAACTGTATAACTAAAAACAGACACTACTCCAGAGGATGTTATGGGCCAAGAAACAAAAGGTACTTATGTCTTCAATGTAAACGCTGCACGGTAATGGAAATGTTGTCTGTAAACTGTTTAACACTCAGCACTAGAATTTCACATCAGATCCCAGAGACACACGTCATGTTTGTTGGGTTTTTGTAGATAAAAAAAAAACAATGAGTAAGGTCTCATACCTGCTCTTTGAGATAACATTTTTTATGAATTGGGGCTATACAAATAAAGATTGAGTGATTGATGTGAGATTAAGAGATGATGATTTCTGATTGGTTGTGAGATGAGCAGGACACAAACACAGAAACTGACAAAAAAATAATAAAAAGATAAAACACTAAAACTATGAAAAATTAGAAATTATAACTAACTGACGGAGCAGCGGAAGAAACTAGGGGTTAAGTATCTTGCACAAGGACACACACTGTAAGACATGTGGCAGCAGGCAGTGGTGTAGCTGTGCCTAAAGAAGTGGGTATACTCTTAATTGTTTTTTTAAGTGGCCCGTCTAGCAGAGTATAAACAGCCTCTGTTATAAACAGTGACATGTGTGTTTGTGATTTCTTCACCAATCTCGTACCAGGAGTTGTTTACTTCTCTGTCAGAGATCTGCTTGCTCTTTTTAGAATTACACAAACAAAACAACTAAAGTTAGCTTTAGGTGAATATGTATGACTAATACATTTGGCATATAAGGTGAATAAATCAACAGTAATAAGGGTTACAATAACAAAACAGTCACTCCGAAGACAGTGAACATCTATTCCAGTCAGAGAAAGAGGCGTCTTTTGTTGCACTAGGTGACCTATCATTGTCTTTAATTCTCAGTCACCGTATGCTGAACGGTAATCTTGTGATAATGTAATTAGAATAATCTGGCAAAGATTGTACCAAGTGCAGTGTAGTTTTTAGAGTGTAGTTTCCTGTGCTTGCATCTATAATGCTGCACCACAGTCACCTCTGTACGCGTAGTGATGAGTGATGATGTGATGCCTTGGCAGCAGGGGGGGGGGCGGATCCAGGGGGTGGTCGGGGTGGCCAGGGCCCACCTTGTAATCTGATGTGTCACCCTGTGTTGCTAGTAGCTGTCTTTGCATTTCAATGTGGCACTTTGGGGTATTTTCAAATTCTAATTAGCAAAAGTATTTTCAAATTGTGATTCATTGACCATGACACACACGTTCTAACAGAGTAAACAGAAATGACTTTTTTTTTTTTTTACCAGCAGGATTCTTTGGGGCATGCCCTCTCTCAGGCTGACATCAGTCCTGCTGGATTCAGAAAGCATGCTGGGAAGAACATCCAACAGCAGATCTCCCCATGACCTTAGAGAGGACAGGTACACAGAACAGTATTAATCCTTGAGTTTATGCAGTCCAATCATGGAGACCTCCTTTAACTCATAGTTTAGCAGTTCATGATCCCAATGGTGTTACACTGCCCACCCCCCTGTTATACACTGTGCCCCCTATATGTTTCAGTGCCCCCCTGTGATACACTGCCCCCCACCCTAATGTTACTGTGTCTGGGGGTCTTGTGTACATTCTCTGGTAGGTGCTGAGGGTCAGGTGGGTGGAGTGATGGACTCCTGATGGAGTGCTGGCCTGATGGATGGTTCCTCTGGGGAAGTACAGAAGATCTCCTTCCTGAAGAGAAGACAACAACACTGGTGTGTGAATTAATTAAACATTTCTCTGTGAAAACACTTCAGATGATACTGATGCTTGTTGCACTAATGATAAACAAAGAAAACCATGATGACATATGACACTAAACAATGTGTGTTGAAAGCAATAAAGAAGCTGAGAAACTGGATCTGTATTGATTGCAAGAGAAGGACTTTCTCCTAAAACTTTTCAGTGTGATCTGTTTGTAAAGAGATGAAGGCTGCTTCATGTTTGAAACCTCCAGGAAACTGAAGATCTCATGTTCTGCTCCTTCACAGGACAAACTGACTCACAAGTGTGATCCTTTATCATACTCCAGTAGGTGCTTGACTTTTACACCACAGGTGACTGATGCTGGAATCAAGGCAATGTTTTCAAAGGAGAAGCTAAATGTGAGACGACCAGTGAAAAAGGTAGAAATGAGAAAGACAGTGGACAGTAGACAGAGCAGAGAGTAAAGAGAAGTGATGAGGACAGAAGAGTGTAAGATGTTTGGATCCAAGAGAAGAGACCAAGTGAAGCATGGGGGAGGAACTGAGACAGTTCATGCAATATCTTTTGGAACTTTACATAGTTATCTATACACATTCGGTACCTACATACCTTCAGTGTGATGTCATGTGTGGGGCTGCCGATCCTGTCCTCTGACTCCACGCTGTACTCTGTTGCCAGGGCAACAGTAGGACTGTAGAGACGCCAGTGTTTCTGTCCCTCCAGCTGCAGAATAAAAACCTGAGCAGAAAACACAGAATCAACACGAGAAGAATGCAAATGCAAAGAACGACTCGGACAATGTACCTGCTGTCTGCTGATCTAACACTCACTGAGTCAGGTGACTGTAGTGCTAAACATTCTGAACGTATGACAACATGAAACTGACCATTTATAGTTAAGCACCATTAGATGTTGCAGAAACTGTGCAGACCATCCTGGTTTGATATGACTGGACTGCTGCTGTGTTACCGTAGTGATACTGTTGGGGCTGCACATGATAACTGTAGACAGAAGGTGGCAGCAGAGTGCTTGAACGCTGATTTTTTTTACTCTAATACTTGCTGTGTTCAGGGGTTTGTCCCTAAAAGGACTACAGCTGGAAGTGTAACACTGATATAGTATCACTGAATGATTCATTCAGCATGTTAGCATGTCACGTGCTAAAGTTGACAAGAGACAGAGGAGGGGCCATGTAGTTGAGCTAAAATAAAATAATTTCATCTTAAAACACATGCTGCTTGTTCTGATAGTATAATAACCCCTCGAAACCCTTTTTACGCGTCAGCCCTGAAAAATGATTTAAATAATTTCAACCATAAAATTGTGACTACTAGCCAATTAATGGACCGACTAGTCGTGCGCAGCCTGCCACTTTTGATCACTGAGGTGAAAATGTGTATTTCTAGTGGTGAGACAGAATGTGGTCATCATGCAGATCATTATCAGTTATGGATGGAAAGCAGAGGAGCAGGAGGACTTGTAGCGCCTCCCACATCAAAGTGTGAGTTGATTCACACTCACGCTGTGCAGGGAAACAAGACGCCACACAAACTGAGACTCCAAACCGTAATACGATCAGACCATGGAAGAAAAAGAAGTGATAAACTCTGATAAAGATCTAACTCTGAATTATAACCATAGCACAGTCCAGGTATGACTCAAATTCATAAAACATGATCAAATACTGCTCAAAACCGTGATATGAGCTGAACTGTGACTCAAAACTGTGGTAAATTCTATCTAATTTACACAAATTAGCATCCTCTATAAACACAATGATACTTGAATTGGATTGCTGTTTTCTGTTTGTGTATGTGTATTGTTTCTGACCCTGTCAAATAAACCATAAAATAAAGAATAAAAAGACTGTGACTGTAATCCTGTTCTCCTGATATGTTTAAAAAAAAAAAAAACACTTAAAACATGGTGGAAACACTCTGGTATAACTTAAAATAAACTTTGCTGTAAGAAGATGTCTGGGGGGGGGGCTTAGTGGTTTCAGGGCTCAGTCATTTAGACTGGTGTAGTCCAGAGGTACCTCGACATCATCGTAGTGAGCTGGGAGACCCTGAGAATCCTCCGGTGTCATGTAGACATTTGAGCCCACCAAGGTCCCGAAGAAACACTCCAGATTCTCCTGGATCTTCCACAGTTCGTCCTAATACAGAGAGAGAGAGAGAGAGAGAGAGAGAGAGAGAGAGAGAGAGAGAGAGAGAGAGAGAGAGAGAGAGAGAGAGAGGACATGAAGAAACAGAGAGATTTTGTTGGCCTGAGGTCAAACATGTCTAAGAAGAAGTTCACAGGAGTGTTTGTTGCTCATTGCTTATAATCATTTCAAACGATATAACTATCACTACTCATATACTCCATATACTGGGGGGGTTGGGACAAGCCGACACAACGACACAAACACTTGAAGGAAACTTGGTGTTCATGTGTTACTTTTAATGACAGCTGTCCTTTTCTATCGGAGAGGTATCCTTAAATGACTTCTTTCCCTGATTTCCGACTCTATCCACTATCCTATCTCTACAATAAAGACACAAAAAGCCCAAAAATAAATCTTTAAATCTTTTTTTTTTTACTTGACTTTTAGGGGGGGGGGTGGGCGCCGCCAAATACAATGGTAGGGGAAACACTGCATTGTGATGAACATTAAACAGAATCCACGAGGCTCACATGGACCTCCACTTCTCCTGAGCTGCTGTCGAACTAACATGAATGGATTAATAATCGCACTAATGGACACTTAAATGTGACTTGCGGCGTATGAAGAGTCGTCAGAAGACTAGAAAAACGCTGTACAAGCTCAAGCCCAGTGGTTCTACTGTAGCTGCAAAATGGACTTGAGCTTGTATAGCACTTTTATAGTCTTCAAACTACTCCAAGAGCTTTTACACAGTGAGGAGCAACTTGGGGTTAAGTGTCTTGTGGCCGCAGGAAGCTGGGGATCAAACCCCTGACCTTCCAGTTGAGAGATGATCGACTCCACCAACTGAGCGAGTTGGCCGTTTCAATGTCAGCGCGAGCTAACATTATATATGTTTACAGCAGCCACTGAAGCCTGGCGTACACTGAACAATCGTAGACATTTTGGGGATGAAATGTCGGCTCACACTGTACGACTAAACCTACTGAAGACACTCGACCAAAGCTCACAATTTATACGCTCACACAAAAAGACCAGATTGTCGGCACAACCTCAGAGCTCACACTCTGCGAGTTAAATCAAAACGGTGCAGTCACAATTCACAACCTAGGCCTCCATACGATTGTTAAAAAGTACATGTGCTGAGCGAGCAAGCTTTGCTCGACGACATAAAATGGATTGAATGCTGCTTTCTTCACTGAGACTCTGCAGAGGGGTATAGTGGCACTACATTTATTTCACATTATGATGATACATCTTCCAGTGGCTGAACTGTGGAGGGCGGTCTGAACAGATCGTGGATCCACTTTAAAGTTTTGCACTCCTACTGATAGGTCCTGGTCCAGATAGAATTTAGGACGAGGCCAACTGTGCTGATAGATGGACTAGCATTAGCATTAGCATCCCGACTCTCACCTTAAACCTCTGGGGCTGGTGGAATTGGATGGTGGCTTTATTCTGGAGCAGGCTCTTGTTGAGGACGCTGTGTTTGACACGGCCCTCCTTGTTGAGATCTTTCTTTTGGCCGTTGATGCAGCGGACCACGTTGACATCGCTGTAGTACTGAAGACCCTCAGAGCACAGAGCCTGCAGGTCCGACAGCTGGAACAGAGACTTGTAGTAGGCGGCTATGGAGGGGTCAGACCTCTGCAGGTGGAGTGGCTTCTTCTCCCAGAACTCCCGAAAGAATGTGTCTGAGTTCAGAGGCTGCAGGAGGCTGCTGAACAGGTCTGCAGGGCCGTGGAAGCTCAGGGGGGAGAGGAGAGCGGGGGGGTCGCCGGGCTCCACTCGGCTCTGTTTGGGAGCGAGCTGCTCTTCTTCACTGCTCTGCCTCTTGACCTTGCTCTTCTTCGGCATTTTGATCTGAGGAGACAGGATGAGAGCAAAGTCAGAGGAATCTGGAAAAACTGTGAAACGGTGACGGTATTACTCCACAGAGTTAAAAGTCCCAGTAATTTTGTTCTCCATGTCGGCACTCATCGAAAGCCTCTCGTCACATCAGACTACTCACTGTTGTTTCATAAAAATTACAGTAGTTGGTCTATGTTTCGATAAGCTTGTAGCTCAGCACCACATGGGCCAAAAATGTAGCATAACATGATTATTCATAACTATAGACAAATGTGCTTAATATAAAGTAGATGGTCTGCTGAAATGTAAAGCCACACAACAACAACATGAGTGCATTCAATTTTGACTTGCTTGAAAAGAGCACAATCAAGCACTGACATTTTTTTTTGTGGGCAGGCATATGAATTATAAAATAAACAACAGATTATATTCTGTTAAAACTTGTGAATACTTTTTATTCTTCATTAAAAAAAACAACATCCACATTTAGAGCAGGTTTCAGGGGTTGTTATACGTGTTACTGCCACCAGATGTCGCTATCTACTCATTTTAAAGAGCATACAATTCAGATGTTGATTCAGCAGCTAAAACAGAGAAAGTATAATGAATCTTTATCCTCTCCTCATAACATAACATGTCTGATGATGTGTGTGTGTGTGTGTGTGTGTGTGTAACAGAGGTTTAAAGCCTGCAGAGTGAGTCGGATACACACACAGGTGTTACACCCTGTGCACCGTGTACAGGAGGTTATACAGTAAAATAAGTCAGGTGTAAAGCAGGCTAGTGGGTCTACACCGCATACAGTCCTGAGTCTGACATGTAAGAGCAGAGCAGTGATTATTCACTCACCTCTCTGTCATGGGTCCCTCACTGCTACACGTGAACCCAGCGCGCTGTGCCCCACTAAATATGTCCGACTGGAAACAAAAACGTAGACTACCAATGTGTCTTTTTTTTTTTTTTTTTTTTTTTTAACCTTAATGTGAACAGTCTATGATTTCAACAGCTTTATTTCAGCTTCATGTAGGCTACATTTCTTTTGTTTCTTGAATAAAATAGACAGAGCTGTTGACCTTTGTCATACCTGCAGCCTAGAGTGAAAATTAACCTTTTGTAATGTTAAAACAACCTCAAAAAAAAAAAAATGCAACAAAACCCAAATGTCCGTAATGTTGGTGATTTACAGATAGAGCAATCTGTAGCCTAACTATAAATTGTCAGCGACATAATGACCTGTTGTTAGTTATGCTCCAAATGCTGCTCCTCCAGGTGGAAACATAACAGAGCAAAACTATCAACAGGAACCCTCTGAAGAGACGTCCTCTAAAACACCTGCAGCTTAACCTGCTGGTTATGGAGACAGCACCATGTTTTAGAGTCCATTAAGACTCTGCATGAAAGAGAGGCAGAGTCTTATAATGCAGCTGAAAAAAAATACACCTTAAAAACTAAACACAGAACTCCAATAAAAAGTTATTTTAATAGAAAGGTACAAACACTGCAGGACTCTCAGGTAAAGAACAAGAAGCAGTAAAGAAAACAGAGAAATGTAGTTCTTCTTTATGGTGATGTTGTTTCCTTGTTTCATCAGAAGATGGACAGAGTTTACCAACAGTCTGCATGAGGCAGTTTGGAGGAAACCAAAGGCTTTCCTAATTTCATTCAGGATATCAATTAGAGAACAAGTGTTGCTGAAAATAGGAAAGGTACATGCCTGATTAAAATATATTCTGCAGAGGCCACATTGAAACAGCAGCCCTCATGAGAATGTGATGGATGCTTCTTTCACTAGGCCTGTTCAGCTTTTGAGCATGTTTCCATCTGTGGCTCATGGTCAACGCTCAACCCAAAAGTTGAGGGTTCAAATCCCAACTCCTGTAGTCAAATGACGACGCATCTTTGGACAAGACACTGAAGACAGTCTCTAAATGACTCCCTCTGCTATTTTGAATTAGTATTTATATTATGTGACATGTAGTGAAATGTATAAAAGATGTAAGTTTGTTATATATGTTCAGCTTCTGTTCCAAACAGGCCTCATGGAACAGAACCGGCAATATAAAATGATTTATATTCATAAATCTGATAATGAAGTAATTTCACTTTTCAAACATTGCATAATTGTCCTCGACTGAGTCCTGCCTGTTGCAATCAGAGACAATGATAAACATATTGTGTTGTAAATACAGTCTTATTGTTTATGTGTTATAATAATGTGTCAGCTGTGCTAGACCAACCATGACACACATGATGGTTTAACGTTATTGACTGAACACTGAGACAACAAACTCTGGTTGTGTCCACGCTCACATTTTTTATACAGACTATCTCTTTAAAAGAAATTAAACCAGGAATTAATCAAATCCCAGAGCTCTTTATAAATTAATACTTTATGTGTCTATGTGGATTCATGAACTACAATAAAAACCATTATATTCAGAGAGGTAACATTGCTTATATGCATTTTATTCAGAGAGAATGAGATATTGTATTATTCTATTTAGTATTTAGAAATGCTTTAAAAAAAAATAAAATAAAAAAAATGTTGGGAACCAGAGGTTAGATTTAATATATGTTGAGCAGACTGTTGAGTAGTGAATCTTGAGATCCAGATGTAAACGTCGGCGTAGATTTTCCTCACCAGAGAAATATTCATCCATCAGCAGTGACAGGCGAGCAGAAAGTGATATCTGCTCTGCTCCAGCCAATAAAAACACACACACTGATCACACACTGATCACACTGTGAGGCTGCATTCAGAAACACTCTGTGCACTTTATGTTCAGCTCACACACTCTGAACCTCTGAACTATGCTTTATATAATCACAGTTAACTGAATATGTTGATGACATTATACAGACT